ATTGACAGACACATGAGGGTTTTCTAAGCATAAGGCGAGGAGAAAGAAGAATATTCTAAAACAGAGACTGTTGGAAATGCAAAGGCACAGAGGAGGAAGCACACAGGTGTGTGTAGGGAGCCTGCTGCAGATCGGCTGGGCTGGGGTGGGAAGCACGAGATGAAAAGCAGCTGGGAGTGGAGTGTGACAGATGACAAAGGGTCGTACGTGCTCTACTTCTGGCCTGGGGCTTCTTTTAAATTGAACCAATAAAAGGTTTTATGGGATTTGGTTTGGTTCTTAAGATAGTGTGTCACCATATTGCCCAAAGTGGCCTTGGGTCCCTTGGCGCAAGTGATTCTCCCACCTCCGCCTTCCAAATAACTGGAGCTACACAGGTTTTGCCACCTTGCCAGACTCAGTGCAGGGTTTTAAATAAGGGAATAGTGTTTTCTTAATTACCTTTCTTGTTGCTGAAACAAAATAATCAACACCTAAAATTAGAGGAGCAAAGTTTTACCGAGCTCCCAGTACATGATTGGCTGACTCCAAGGCAGGAAACAGCAAGGCATTGCAGAGGAGAAACGGACCATGGCAGGCAGAAGGCAGTGAGCAGCAACACAGCAGCAGCCTGCCTCTCCATTTCATCCTTTCCTGGATACTTGACCACTGGGTGGTGCCACCCACACCCAGGTGGGTCTTTCCATTATCCACACCCAGAACCATGCCAGACCAATCAGTGACTAATTTAATAGCCACACATCCCAGGATCACACATTTAGTACCAACACCACACAGTTAATCTCAGCATCACACACCCTAAATCCAGCCATCTCTAAAAAGCCCCACCTATGAGCTGCATGAGGTTTTGTGGGGACATCTACACACAAGCTATAACAGTTGTGGTCGGAATTAAATCACCAGTGTGACTCTATGTGGAGACGGGTAGAGAGAGTCAAAAGTATGGAACTAGAAACTCAGCTGAAAATTACTGCAGCAAGAGCTGAGAGTCTGAATGAGGTCTACGGCAGGAAGACTAGAAAAGAAAGAAAGAAATAACGTATGAGGCCCAGGGACCAGCTGGAAGCGAGGGAAGGAAAAGGCAGAATCTGGGAGGCTAGAGAGATGCAGCCTCATCAGTTAAGACCCGGGACCTCTCGAAAGGGTGAAGGTTGTGAAAGTGTAGGAAAAGGTGAAATCAGTTCTGGCAAGTTGAGTTGGAAGGTCTGGAAATCACAGACAAAAGTTTTCAGGGAAAAGATGAATACACAGCCCTGCGAACTACCACAGGTCTAGCCTTTTGCTGAGGATTTAAGGGTCAGCACCTAGGGATATTTAAACAGCAGGAGAATTCATGAGCACAAAGCAAAGGCTTAAAGTGAAAATATGGTCAATAAGAGAATCCTCAGGAACATCACTTCTAAGGAGCAGCCAAGGAAAAGAGCCAGCAACGACACTGAGAACGTGTGGTGAGAGAGGTGGTTCAACACCCAGGCAATAAGAGGCCTCCAAAATCAGTGAGGGAAAAGGGAAAGGGTGATCAAGAGGAGCAAAGACCATGTTAGACTGAACAGAATGACCTAGATACATTTGTGAGCTGGGTAATGAGGAGGCCATCGCTGAGCAGAGACATGGCGGTTTTAATCATACAGTGATAAAGTGTGGGGTGGGTAGAAATCACATGATAGTGCCTTTGATGAGTGGGTAGGAGATAAGAAAACGTAGATACATGTACTGACTGTCTTTTCATTGAGGTTAACTCTCCTGCATGAGGTGATGCCAGGCCTAGGCTGAGTGGGGATGGGAGTAGACATGGAATTCTTATCCAAAAATATGCCTCTGTTAAAAGCAGATGAGCAGTCAGAGCTGAGAGTGAAGTGCAAAAGTGACCCCCGTAAGCCAAATTTGGGGTTTGAAAAGTCCCCCCAACCTGGGAGACTACAGTCAGTGTCTGAAGCTGGATGAGGGTCAAGCATCAAACAGCTAGCTTGTAGGCAGGTGCTCAGGAGGAAAGTGTCGTCAAAGAAACAGCATGTACTGCTGGGCCTGTCGTACAAGGGACTGATCAGGGCCCGCGAGGGAGGGAAGAAACAGACAGAGGAGAGCTGAGGGCCTGGCGGTAGAAAGTAGGCTAGTTGTGGGAGCTAAAAAAACCAGTGGATGGTAATTTTTCCTACATGAAAATATCAGAGAGAGGGCAATTCCAGGTGATGAAGTCTGGGACTTGGCCCCGAGAGTAGGCCACAGGATGAAGTAAGCAGATTCTGGAAACTGCAATGTGGGAATCTCCCCACCGGAACTGAAGGTGCCCACAATGATGGAAGAAATTGGATTCAGGGGGGAAAACATGTCTACATTCTCGGGGAACTGAGTCCTAACCAGGAGATGGCAGTGGATAATAAGTGAAGCAAAGAACCTGGATGGGATAAATGTGAACTCAGGAAAGAGTTTTGTGTGGCAGGAGGCAAGTGATGGTGGCAGTGGGCCCTGCAAAGGACAATTCCAGCTCCGTCCAGACCTGCTGGAAATTGGGGTGTGGGTGCGAAGGAGGTGGTACCTCTCTGAGGCTGGGACAGGAAATGCATGTTTATGTTTCAGTGACAGCAGGTAAGGAGAGAAGGCTATCTTTTCCACTGGCAGGTAAAATCTAAAAGCTTTCAGATATTAAATACCATCTTTTTTCTCTGCCAGAACTGTTGGGTTAAGTGTTTCCAGGGAATCACAAGAAGACAGTTGTACTGACTGGGTAGTATTTAATATGATCAGGTCTTAAATAAGAAGCCGTGAACATAAACATTTAAAACCAAATATATAATAAATAATCATTAAGTTATAAAGTACATAGTTTATATTAAATTCTCAGATGCAAATGTAAATACAACAGAGCAATAATATAGAATAATATAATGCTACAATTTTACACAAGCATCCAAAGAAGACACATCCAGCTACAATAGCAAAAAGTCATGATTAACTTTCCCCAAACTCCCATACTTCCATAATCTACAACAATGTATTTGATTTCTTCCTTTCTTCCTACTTCCTCTTTTAAAATGCTAAGGTTTCCCTTGTTCCTGCATTATGTATTGCTACAAATGCTACTGAAGTAATGTTGAACACCTGAACATCAAACTCAGTACAATGTTTTCTCAGAAGTGTGGTCAGATGTTCCTGGAAGAGTGCCCAGAACCTTAGGGACTCCTAGATATAGAAAGCTCTAAAAACTGCAGAACAAGCTTTAGAAATGGAGTCTACACCCTTGTTCTATAGGTAAGGAAATGGGAACTCAGGAAAGTTTAAGTTCACAACCAACATTTCCGGTCTCCTGCATCACCTGAAAAAGTGGGGAGGTGTGCATAGTTACTATCTTCGTACCCCTTTGAGAACCAGCTGAATGTGGCAGGGAAGACAGAGCGGTTAGGTTTCACTCCCCTGTCTCATTTATTCTAAAGCATGACTTTTCCTGAGGTGCTAGTGAGATCCTCACTGGTCAGTACCCCGTTCAATTATTTTTACTAGAGTAGATACACTCCTGAAAGGATTAGAACAGAGATTTCTAACAATCGACAGAATAAATACATCATTTTAAATACAAAGTCACAATGTTGCCAAGTCAACAGGTAACAACCCAAGAATGAAAAATGTAGACTCTATTTTCTGTATACCTTAGGAAGTTTTACATCTCTGTGCCTGCTTTCAGCTTTCATCCTAACAGCCTGGCCTGCCACATTTAACAATTCAGCAGCCTTTGTCTGGCTAGCATCATCAATAGGTAAATATTTTCATGATTTTTTTGCAGGAACGTATTTTAAAAATTGAAAACAGAGTACCTTGTTTCTGATAATAAGACAGAGGAACTTGCTTCTGGTTCTATTTCTTCACTGTGCTTTAGTTAAACAGTTGATTTTCCATGTATCTTTTAGATATCTTTATGTTAAGTGTGTGTTTGTTTTTGAAATGCTTTCAAGTAGACAAACTCTTCTGAGAGCATAAAGCATTTCCTATCCCATATCCTGATGTTTACTCAGAGTCAGTTTAACAATAAGAAATGCTCAAATAGCCTATTTCTAATGAAAATTTTATTACTCTAGAGTTTCCTTGTTTAAACAAACTCTGCAGGACTTGATCTAGAATGGAAGTTAGAGCCGGTTGCTTGTTTTTACTGCCTGGGCGTGAAAGATTAAAACATTCATGCAGAAGTTTGTTTTAAACTGGGACAAGACTCCTGGTTTCTTAATTTGTCTCCTGGTTTTGTTTTATGTAATTGATTGAATGTGTTGTATACAAAGCATCCAATCATAGTAAAAAAAACTAGACATGTTTTTAAATGTCTTCACAGAAGTTTCATTTTTAAAAAAACAAAGGAAAGAAAGGTTGCATGGAAGGTAATGGACGTATGGAGTTATCAGCTCACTGGTGAACAACCATAGCAATTTGAAAAGACAACTACAAGACCTTTTAACTATTTGAATGCCAGAAGGCTACTTGCTGTATCTCCTTCTCTAACTTTTAATTGACATTTTTCACAAGCTTCAAATATTAGCTTATAAAGGGACTTGAGATTAGGGAAGGTAATATTCAACCCACTTTAATACTCTATTACCATGTTTTTTAAAAAAAAACCAACAAAGAATAAAAGTCTATTCCATAAATACATTCATACCCATAATATTTAAATATTTTTATAAACCTCATAACGAAGTAGGATTTTTTTGTATCCATCTGTTGAAACTATCCCTCTTGTGCTTAAATTACATATTTATATGTTATACATTCTGAAATAAAAAATAAACCCTTTGAATGTAAATTTTTAAATATTTAGTTTTCATTTCCACAAAAGAATAAAGACTTTAACTTTTCATTGAAAAGCATTGATTCTATGCTTGTACATTTTCAGCTTCTGTATTTTTACTTGTTAAATTATGATCATAATAAACTTCATTCTTGTGATAATCAAGATCAAGGCTAACACAAGATTAGGATATTCCTAAAGTGTATTTTTGGTTAAAATTTTTACTCTCTCATCCAGCAAGAGATATAATAGTTGGGCAGTAAGATAAAGTAAAAACTTCAGTAGTCATAGAAATCCATGACATAGGAATGCAGAGTCTAGTTGGGTAGAAAGTTTTTCCAAATTGATCAAACATGTAACACATGAATTAAACTGAAGTACTACAAGACAATTTGGGAGAAGTGATCCTAACTTTGCACACTTATCTGAGGTTTTTTTCCCCACCACTAATACATTGTACTTCTATGCACTTGGAATACCAAGAAATAAGTCTCACTCTTGTGTTAGAGTATGTAATATAGTGTCCAGCTTCAAGTTAGATCTTCAGGAATCTTCCTGCCCCATGCATTCTAGGAAAGATGCTGATGAATCATCTGTGGAAATAGTACACCATGAGTAATCTAAATATGACAGGTAATTTGGATAGGTAAAGATAAAAATAGAAAAGCAGATACCTTTTGGAGAAGTGATTTCATCCTTTCTAGGAATTCTCGAGGTGGTTTTTTCTCATAAGCATTACATGACTGGCATGTCTAGAAATCAAAAAGAAAGTCACATTCTCCTTGTAAAATTGTCCCCTGCTTAACAAAATGTTCATTTAGAATTTACTTTTCCCCATTAAAAAAAAACAGAAACATTCACAGAACATTTGGGAAAGTATATAAAATTATTCAGAACGTTGGACAAAATTACTTGTAATTTCACTCCAGAGATAACCACTGCCTGCTTTACTATGTATCCTCGCACTGTTTTGCTTTTAAATTTTATTTTCATTTGTGTCACACTAGTTACTAATTTGTTTTGCTTTGTTTTTAGTTAATATATCTCAAGTATTTCCTATATGTTAATCATCCTTTAAATATATAATGCATAATAATTGCTTTGTCTTCCAAATGATATTGTTACTATTTTTGGACACATATGTTGCTTCACTTTTCTCCTTTGAACATAATAAAGCAACAAACACATCTATAAATAATTTGTCATGTAAACTTTAATTTATTTTGAAAATTCGTAGAAGCAGAATAATGAAATTCAGGGGATAAACATTTATAAGACATTTTAAATACACGGTAAAAAAATTTACTTCTTTTTAACTGGAACATTTTTATTTCAAGGGTTTTTTATTCTAAATTGGAAAATATGGGATTTCCTTATTTTATTTGATGTATTTAATTACTATAAAAATTAAATAATTTTTCATTAGTGTTGCCTGGTTATGTCTATTTATTCATTCCTTTATTTCTTAGTTGCTTGGTTTATAGTCTTTATTCTTATTCCTGTAGATGTACCAAACCCTTGGTCATTGCTTGATATTTAATGCTCAACACCAGTCTCAGTGTGGAGTGAGGAGACCTGGCTGAGGGATAACACATCAGCTCTAGCTCTCATTCTGACAGTTATCAATTTTTTGGAACTTGGGATAAGTCACCTGTTTAGTAGTATTCATAGCTGAATAACTAGACAGTTCTGAGTTCAATCCCAACATTACCATTTCATGAGTCTTTGATTTGAGGTTTGAAAGCCATGCTCCTTTTTTATGAAGAAAAATCTAAAAGGCTATTTTTCACATGGTAATCTGGTCAAGCAATCAAAGGTAGACAGAATCATTTTGATAATACAATTAAGATTCCATTTAAATAACATGCGGAGTTTCTTAGAGGAAGGAGCACTGAGAAAATTTAGAGTAACATTTTATGTGATTTTCATGGTTTTGAGTATAAGTTGTTTGGTTTTTTTGGTCCTAGGGATCAATCTCACAACCTTGCGCTTACCAGGCAGGTGCGTGGGCCACTAAGCTATACCCCCAGCCCTATTTTCATGGTTTTGATTAATGTTTAAATCACGCATATTCTTGAATATCAGCATTGTTTGAAGTTGGCATAAGGGAGGTATGAGACCCCACAAGACAGGATATATTGAAATTTCCCAGGCAAAAAATGGGCTGTACTTAGTTAAATTTAGTACTGACTCTGCTGTTGTCCAGAATAATATATTCTTTTAAGAGCGAAAAGCAGTTTGAGATTTATCTTGGTCGTTTGCAGGCTCCTATTTTGTCCAAAACCCAAAAGACAACTCACAAGTTATATGTGACCATGTATGTAATGAGAAGGAAATATTTCCTGGTTTCTAAGTCACAACTGGATTCTCTTCCTGTGACCTTCTTGTCTTGAAAAATAAATAAATTAACCTATTCCAGGGATTATCAGAAATTCTAACAATTTGCTAGCATTTGAGTTTCAAGTACTGGAAAGAGGATTGCCCATTTCTCAAATTCTACCATGTATGACAAGGTATACCCATTCAGGAAGGCCCTGGAAGCTCTGGCTAGAATAGGGGTGTGTGTGTGTGTGTGTGTGTGTGTGTGTGCATACTTGTGTAATATAATGGCTATATTACATTATAGTTGATGCAAACAAAATAGATGACAAATGATAGTCTTACTTGTTTGTGTTTCTGCTTTTTCTCTGTGTTTGAGGGAGGTAGTTTCCTCTTCAACTGCTTAATTAACACACTGATAATCTTTTCATTGCCTCCTGTTTTTGCTAACTTGAGTTGAGCCTTCTGAAAACATGAAAAAGCTGAGCGCTCACAGTGTTCCTGAAAGAGAAATAAGTTGTAGGCATTTTAATAAAAGTTATTCAGAAAGTAAAAATGACCTTTCCAGTTGTCTATATCTACCTCTACTAAGTGTCATGAATCACGTTTATTTCAACAGAAGAGTGAGGTATGATTTCACCTCCACTTAATCTTTGGCCAATAGAAATGGAGGTGCCTGCTCTTGACGTAGGGAAGAGGAACATCTTTTTGCCTGCGCTGCAGAGATGAGGGAAGGGAGTGTTAATTTTCTCAGTTCTTTATTCCTAATGCTCTAATGAGAGCCATTCTGGTGTCTAGGTGGTAAATAGGACCTTCATGTTTTGTACAGGAAAGTTAGTTTGGGGTAAGAACACAGTCACTATCTAGTCATCTGTTGATGGGCGCTTAGGCTATTTCCACAGTTTAGCTATTGTGAATTGCACTGTTACCAATAAGGCTGCACAAGAATCACTATACCATGATGACTTCAGCTCTTTCAGGGAGTCATATACCTGGTTCCAATGGAATTTCTAATTTGAGTTCTTTGAAGAGTATAATCAAACAATAAAGAAGGATGAATTCAAGTAGGAACACAGATGGATCTTGAGACCATAATGTTGTTGAAACAAATCAGATACAAGTTAAATGTCACATGGTTTCTCTTGCTTGAGCAATCCAAATATATATATAAATTAAAGTGTAAAATAAAGGAGAGGTCATAGGAAAGAGAAAGGTAGGGTTTTTGGAAATGGGAAGAGTGATCAGAGGAAAGGGTGGGGGAAACAGGAAGATGGGAAGGGATCAAAAATGATCAAAATATATATGTATATGTTCCTCAAAATAAATGTACTTATTAAATATCACAAGCATATACCAAGAAAATAACATTTTTTAAAAGAACACAGTTGCTAAATTACTTAAATGACTTTAAGTTACACTGTGACTGGTAATAGCATTAGATACATTATGATCTAACTTAGAGCCTTTTTAATTTGCAGTTTTTCTCTGTATGTACATAGGACTATCTATCAGTGGTGTACTTTAAGCAATACATTATTCTGTACAGCACTTTACATAATGTCTTGTTGCTAGTAAATGTTTAATGTCTATTTGCAAAATCAACAGAAGAGGTAAAGGAACCTCAGCCCCTTGCTGGGAAAAGGAAGTGGGTCCCTGTCTCCAATGGCATACTCTAAGACTCCACACACTTGCTGTTGGCTATGCACGAATTTTCTAAAATTATACCCAGATTTTCTGCATGAGAAAAGCAAGTAGGATTCAACATGAATCAAGCTGTCAAGGAATAGAATTTGAGACTTGCTGACCAGTGGGAGGGAGGACCATTCCCTAGAAAGTAACAATGTCTCAGAGGATGGAAAAGAGTCTGAATAACATGACTAGGAAATTAGCCAAAATCTTAGCAACTATGCTGAAAAGGAGATGAAGTTTATTGGAAAAGCAAAATTTATACCTACTTACTGAGAACATTTTAATGCTGATCTAAGAGCTTGTATCAGAGTTACTTATACCCAAGTTATTTTTTTTCTTTCAGCAAGTGTGTGTGTGTGTGTGTGTGAGTGTGTGAGTGTGTGTGTGTGTGTGTGTGTGTGTGTGTGTGTGTGTGTGTGTTGCTATCTCCCCCTGGAGCTGCTATGTCCTCACTTTACTAATGTGTGTGGAAGCCACTATCTTACAGCCAGAAACCTCCATCCTTCCCAGTCCTTGCAAGGACAGTCCTAACGTAACGATGTTACCTGAATCTTCTCATGGACAATCAGCTGAGAACAGCATCTAGCCTATTTTGCATTTTCCAACCCCTATGCTTACCCAACATGAATGTTGATTAATAACGCATTTTTAAGACACAAATCCATCAGATTTGCTTTGCATATATAGCCACAAGCTGAGAACCACTTTATCTGGTTTTCTCTCTTGTCAGAGCAATTTGTCTTTCATAAGGGCAAGGTACTGTCCTTTCCATGTTTGCCAAAATGCTTATTTAATAGAAACTATTTATAAATGTTAATTTTAGCACTTTTTTTTCCTTGAAAACCACATGTTCATGTTTGTTGAAGTTTTTTTCTTTTCTCTTCTTTTTGACCACAACCGGCTTAACTTACTGGAAAAAAATAATATTCATATTTAAAGAGGTAAATTTTCCAGCTGAAACTGAAAATACTAACTGCTTCATCTGCGATGATCTGAGAAACCAACATTTCTCACACAGGCCCATTATGCTGAGTTAACATTTTCATTTGTATGTTGAAAGAAAATTAGGTTCCAAAGAACTAGAGGAGTCATATGGGACGAATTCCTTTGAGACAATATTGCCAGGAATGTAAAGACCAGTGGGCAAAGCTTTTACACCAGAGGCCTTTCTGAGAGCCCGTAGGCCTAAAAGAGGAAGATAGTTTCTGGTGCTATTCCTCCACATTCACATTCATAAAAGGGTGTTTCAGGCTGGAGACACAACTCAGCAGCACAAGCACCTGTCCAGCAAGAACAAGGTCCTGAGTTCAATTCCTGGTACCAAAAAAATAACTAAGTAAAACGATGGTTTGTTTAGTCCTGCAGGCTGCAGAGATGTCCCTGGCCATATGTGACCCAGGACGAGTAACTGCTGGATTTAAGCTTTGATGTACAGCCAAGGCAGCCTCGGTGAGGAAAAGAAGTGGAGGAGCCCTCCCTGCAACCTTCCCAAGGCATACGTGGAGGACAGTGGTGAGAGTCCCAGCAGCCGTAGGAGCCATCACGCGGAGGCTTACAGGATGGTCCAAGTCCTTCTGTGCACCCTCTGAGAGCGTGACCCACTGCTTTCCTTTGCTGTGCCTTGGTGACAGCAAACTCTGAGGGCAAGGCTTTGTTTACTATATCCTTTTACACATGAGTTTTGCAGAATACAAGGAACAATGGTAAAGAACTTAGAAGCCAAAGTGAAAAGCACATCCTCACTTTAGCCAGAGAACAAATCAAGCACTGCTTTGAGGAGAAAAAAAAAAGGCATACTTGGCTCTTTTGTTTTATAATTGCCTATTTAAAAATACTTACTTTCTTAAAGCCTACATAAATTTTGTTTTTCTTTTGCAAAGAAAGCCATTACCATTCCTAGCAGGAAGTCTCACTAATTTGGTAAGATTACCTTTGTCTTCCACACAATATCAGGGTGTTCCAGTGGTAGCACTATTGACGTATTGATTGTTATTTTTTGCTGTCAGATCGGTATTATGTGTTGCAGAACATCTAGCAGCATCCCTGTTGGCTCACGACCAGATGCCAGCAGCACCCTCACCTCCATCCCTAACTGTGCCAACCAAAAATTTCTCCAGACACTGCTCTTTGGTGTGCAAACTGACCACCACTTGAGAAGCACTGGTTGTATGATAGAAGAAAGAGGAGGAGAGAGGAAGGGGGAGGAGAAGGAGAGGGAGAGGAGAGAGACAGAGACAGAGACAGAGACAGTCAGAGAGAACAAACTTACTGAGACCAGTTAGAAATGTTAGATAATCATTATATAAATGCACCATTAAATGGCTTTGTCCTCATTAAACTTTTAAATTCTGTTACAGATCCTGTTTTGATGTTTGCTCTGAGAAACTTGATATAATCCTAATGTAGCTTTGGCTATTTTCTTCCTGGGTTTGCCTGCCTGTGTACTAAAATATCATAATATATGACTACTCACTTGGATCATAGATAGTACTGCTTGATCAGATTACCACACAGAGTATCTCTGAGACAAAATCCTCTCATAACGATGTAAGATAAAGAATGTCTTTCAGCAAGGGATTACTAGAGGATGAGAAGTGTGTAGAAGGGGAGGGTGTGGAAAAGAAGGGTAGATGAACATGATCTATGCACAATGTGTAAATATATAGAAATACCATGATGAATCCCATTAATCTGTACAATTAACATGTGTTAGTAATAATAATAAATATTAAAAGTGTTTACTGGAAAATATAAACTGAAAAAAACTTTTTCACTAATAAATCATAAGGGTTAGTTTCTATATCTTATTTTTTGCAAGTTGTAGTCTGCAGCTAGGGAACTGGAAAGGATTCTAGCTGCCACCGATGAAACTGGTTCATGAGATGCTGGTAAATGTATGTTTTGACAGACACACAAATTAATAAATATTCTCACTCATTAGAGAAGGCTTTCCAATAAGTTGAATGTGCTACTTTCATTTTAGATGTTGCTTATTAGAAAAGAATCTAGTAAATATGAGAGTGGTTAGGTTTAGAGCTAGAGAGTGAATTTTAGAGAAAAGCAATAGTTGTGACTCATTCACTTTCTAAACTTTTACACATAGTCATTTACCATAATTGTTTTCTTTGCCATGTATCTTTATAAATCTCCCCCACTGTAGTGCCCTAATTACTGGTAACACTTTCATAGTTATCCTAATTTATGCAATTAAAAGTCTATGACAATGAAAACATTTCCCCAGTTGCATTTATCCTCTCAGAGTCCAAACCAGAAGATCAGAGTGAAGTTACTGGGGCAAAAGATGAGCAGACATCACTCTTAAAGAACACTGTGGCAGAATCTTTTCCCTGGAACTTGAATTTAAATGGCTTAAGAGATGGAATCAGCTCTTGAAAACTATCCTTCCTCCCGAAAGACTTCACAGAAGGCCAAAGACAAGACTCACTGAGGACAAGGTATATGAGAATTAATTATACTTTAAAGAGGGCTTTGATTTCTATACTGTCATTTCTCCACACTGTTTCTTTTTTAGCTTGTCTTTAAAAAGTGAATTCTGCTTATTATTGTATGGATCTATATTTCTTAAATCAGATTACAAAGAAGGATCAAGAGCTTTCATGCCCAAGGGCTCTTATAATATAACTAGTTTTTCATTGCACCAAAACTAATCATAGTGTAGATTTCTTTTCTAGTTTTGTTATTCTGTCTTAACAGTACTACTTAAGAGAAGTCTTAAAGATACTTGAAGATAAATGTATATTTTATAAAGAATGTAATGTAGCCTTTTATTGATTAGTTTTCTGGTAAATCTATGAACAATTAATCAAAATAGAAATAAATATTTTACTAATTATTAAACCTCCAAGTCTACAGAAATTAAGTACAGTATATTCCTAAATAACCATCCTAATGCTTTTCTTAGTGGATTTAAAAACATATCGCTATATTTTCAGAAATCAATTCAGGAGATCCTACCTTTACATCATCTGGAGCTGGCAAAAATGCAGGATCCTAAAGCAAAAGAAAATTAGTTCTGAGTTATTTTTTATAAGCCAAACAATTCCCTTTATACCAGTTGAAAATTACTACTTTAGTCTTGTAATAAGCATGATCTTACCAATTCATTCACATAATTTTTCAGCTGATCAACAATATCTATAAGTTGACTCATTCTAATCATGAAGCGGTCTTGTCCTTGGGAACTTGATTTGTGGGCCATTGTCCCTAAGAAGATGACCATCAGACAGATAACTATCCTCTCCATGTTGCCAGGACTGGGTCGCATCAGTACCAACAGTAGAGCAAGACCTTGGTCTCCTTTGCACTTCAGATTGACTGTGAGCAGGTTGTCAGAAAAGCTACCTATTTATTCATCCTTCAAGGAGAGGTAAAGCCCTCCCATTGCAGCCTGGAAATCTTTGTAAAATGGATGAATGTGAGTAACTCTTTTTTCTTTTCCACTGGCTAAGTATACGTGTGCATGTGCTGATGCGTGGGGGCAGGGATGGATGGAGTCAATGAAATATGCCCAATCTGCATCTTAGACAGGAAAAAGAGAGAAATGGGTGAATTCCAATTTTCAGCATGAATCAAGAAGTGTGTGTGTGTGGTAAACAGTAGCTACTATAAGGTCTCAAAAAGTAAACACAAACACTTTGATCTCCTCTTCTGTGCATGCCCTGGAATCTTACCTGTTCTCCTGACAGTCATAAGAGCACTTCTCTAATGAGTGAAAGGGCATAAGTGCCATCTGGCAGGACTTTTTCTTATGGTAATGACTGCACCTTTTGACTGAACTCATCCTGTATTCCATCCTGACTGCAGGAGAAGTTACCTTGTAGGAAATTTTACACAAATGGGATATTTTCCTAACTACCAAGAATATTCTAGATCTTTATCAGGCTTCAAAACTTTAAAATAGAATTTGTTTCAAAGTCTTCTGCAGAGCATCTTTAAGTAACATTAATGTTGGCTTCTGGCATTTTATCTAACAATCTGGTTTATAAATATTATAGATGATTTTAGTGAAAATGCACCCCCAAACCAGGATGTCACTCTATTTTCTTTGACTTAATCACATACAAATTACCTAGTATCTGTCTTTTCTGTGTAATGCATCAGTTACATGAATGAAAAGTACTAATACTCATTCATGTCCAAATCCAGAAAATTCTACAAACAGCAAAATCAAAGGTACCCATAAATGGTTCTTTTTCTCTTAGAATAGTGTTACTTATTTCTGCTATATATTATTTCCTCTGAGTATGAGCAACAGATTTTTAACTGCATCTATTGTAGGTAGAAGTTAACAGACTCCAAGTTCAGAAATGGTTTTATCATTCTCCTCTCTTCTGCTTCTCTTGTTCTTAAGACTCTTTACCTATCTGAGAAAGCTGCATGTAGTAGTCTAGCCCAAAACAGTCTTATACATAGATAGGTCTCACAAAAAATATGTTACAATAATCAAGATAAACTGGAGTCTGGATCTGATTTGCTCTGAGGGTTCACTGTGGTCCTCTCAGCACTCAGTATTACTCAAGAACACACTGTTGTGCGGGATGCTGTGGCACTTGCCTGTAATTCCAGCTCCTGAGGCAGGAAGATTGTGAATTCAAGATCAGCCCACTCAAGTTAGCAAGACCCTGTCTTAAAAACTAATGATACTAATAATAATTAAAAGGACTGGAGATGTAGCTCAGTAATAGAGCACTTGGCCAGCACGTGTAAGATCCCAAGTTCAGTAACTTTATCTACCAAATTTTTTTTAAAAAATGAATACACAGATTGGCCTTAGATAGTAGATGAGATCTCTTATAATATGATCAAGAAGTCCTCTCTGTATCATTGTGTTCTGTAGGGATGATTTCTTTGTAAACTTCCTAACTGATGTGGACTAAAGATTGCCACTTGGTCAGTCAGCACTGCCTGCAGGGTCCTGGCACATGCTTTCTTTATCTACCTAAATAGACACTCATCTCCTTGGGGACACTAACCTCAGTGTTAAGGGTGCAATTTCTACAGCAAAGAGCTTGAATTCACATCTAGACTTTTAACAATTAGTAGCATATGTGATACTGGGAATGTTACTGTGAAGGGAAGACAGAATCTAATGATTGAGCTGTAATGAGGCTTAAATGAGATATTCCAAGTAAAAGGCTAAGTATAGCACGTGGTAAAGTCCCAGGAGGTCTTCAGGCTGGTTACTGATGGCAGTGGAGAGGACAACTTGCAGAGCCATAAGCAGGTCACCCAAAATGTGTGAGGATGGTTATAATGGCTGTCAAACAGGTAAAAGTCATACTGTCCAGCTGGAATCATTGTTCTTGGCCTTGAGTGCTTCCTTGTGACCTCCCCGAGACCTCCAGGCATCCCCCCAGTCTGTTGATCAACAACACATCAAGGGTCTTCAGGGTGCTAAAACCTTTCTGAAAGTGGCATTCCTAGCCCAAGTGGCATATCAGTTGATATCACCCCTAGTGTGGGAGACTGAATAATGCTCCCCCTCCCGCTGTCCTAATTCCTGGAACCCGAGTTGTCACTTTTCATGACAAAATGGACTTTGCACTTGTGATTAAGTTGAGGCTCTCGACAGAGGGAAGAGTATCCTATATTCAGATGAGCTCAATGTGATCGCTGGATTAATAGGGAAGTCAAAGTGTGACAATGAGATGTGATGAGAGAAACAGGTTGGAGTGAGCAGGGGCCAAGTCAAGGAATGCAAGTGGCCCCCCGAAGCATTCTCCCCAGCCTCCAAAAGGAATCCCTCCCCAGCCTACATCTTGCTTCAGCCCTACCAGATGGTTTATCTTGGACTTTTAACATTCCAAATTGTAATTTAAATTGTGTTAAGCCAGTGAATGTGTGATAATTTGTTACAACAGCAAAGTAATGTACTTAGGTGTGGAACTATTACCCTTGGAAAAAAGGCAGGAAAAGTGTTAAGGGCAGAACCAAGGAAAGCTAAAGCTTCGCTGGGCTTTTGGAGAATGTGGGCAGAGGGGCAGGGAGATGTGAGGAGCCGAAGGAAGTGAGGTGATGTGGCTGCTCCATGCTCAGGAACCTCAGGGACACAGATGCTTGAGAGCTTTCCAGGAAATGTGCTGCTCCTGGCTTGGAGAAGGGATTATTCTTCGGGATAAACAGTGGATTTCAAAACCATGAGACCCAGTTTACCTTCATTCAATTTTCTGAGAATATTTTAAAACAGATTTTAGGATAGGAAGGGGGATGCTTAACTGAGTCACCCAAGTAAAGCAGATCACTCTTTTCTTAGAAATATTAACCCCACTGCTAGCTTTACAGCAGCGCATCATGGGGGGAGTGTCTTAATGACTTTTTGCTCTTTAAACTATAATCACATTTATAATCTAGATACCGTCAGTCTTGCTGTAACACTTACTTTGAAAATGAAAATTTATCCTAATGGGAACTATTTGAACATACGAGTTTGGTGTTCTCCTACATGTGATTTTTGTCTACAAAAAACAGTAGGTGAACACAGAACACTCCCTGAGCAAAGCTGTGTGAAAACATACAAATGCACACACGCACACCCAGACACAGACACCCACTAGCAGCATCAGGTCAGTGTGCGTGTAAGTGAGGCACACCTATCCATGGCTCTGTCACACTCTTCCGTCCCAGAGAAGCCTCCTCAGCCACATGTCAATGGCTGCCCACCTGCGATCTACCACACCACCTCCTCCAGGGCAAGCAACACGTTTGGTGTAGTATTTATGTATTTCTTGACCATTTAGCATGTCGGACATTTCTATCTTTTTTATTAAGTTCCTATCTCCTTTTCTGTGTCACCAATAATGTTTTTGAGTGCTCTGCCCCAACTCTCACGTTCCCCACAAGCCTGTGGTTTTATGTGTAGGGAAGTGATTTGTACAAACGTGTATGCCACGTTGTAGCAGATCAGACGCTGTAGCAGATCAGACTGCATTTTGTTTTTAAACATCACATTTAATCCCCATTAGAAATTATTTATATCCAGCTGAAAAGCAAGACCAGGTTATAGGATTTATTGCTGAGGGAGGATGACAAAGAAAGGAAGAGAAAATAGCAAACTTTCTCATCTTTAATACCTAACCCATCTGAGCCTGGATTATAAACTCTAGCACCCACTCCCCACACAGGGCCTTTCTCTTGCTATCTTTTGGCCCCCACAAATGTGTTCCAGGAGTCCATGAGCCTCCTGAAATCACAGAAGAATTTTGTGTTAATATTTGTGTGGAGAGAAAAATCTTAAAGTTCATCAGCTTCTCAGAGGAAATGTCATGCAACTGCTCTTTACTTTCTAGCCTCCAGAGACTTTTGTGACAGCTGAACGAACTGTGCTCCTCCAACACACGTGCAGCAGTGATCAGGAAAACAGGGGCCGCAGAATTTCCACCCAGGAGACCCCAAGAGGCAGCCGGCTGGCTGGAGGCCGCGCCTGTACAGAAGTGACCTGGCGTCGTGTTTAGTTAGTTCCTTGGGTGAGGTGATGAGTTTTCCCAGGAACTTAAAGAAGATCATTACTATGAAAGCCTGAAAACACTTGAGCTGTCTATGCAAGAGGATTTATGGGCATATTTCAAGAACTTTCTTTAAGTGCCTATTCTTCTAGATACCTGGTTAGGGCAAAATGAGACCAAGAAACTGAAGGAAAGCTTCCAGCCAAGGAGGAAGTTGAGAGGGAAATGAAGTCTCAAAATGCATGATTTTACATGGGGAAAGCTGGGCCAGGTCTAAAACCAGATGGACACTATTTGTCCCCCTCTCTCTTGCCCTGTCTTCGTAGCTCTTCCTGAGGACACTGTGTCAAGTACTCACGTTCTGCTTTCACGTTGACCCTTCAAGAGTACAATTGGACATTGTGCCCAGAAAACTGGAAAGAAAAGCCTTCTGGGATTTAGGATGATGGTAGTTTATAACTTGTGCCACTCCAGCACACTAAAAGGATTTGAACAGGTTGCTTATCTCACCTGATTTTAATGTAGAAGCCTTACATAGATCCATATTCAACTTGAAGAAAATCTCCACTAGTCTAAGGCAATTTTTATATTTTCTAATAATGTCCAAGTAAGCACTGAAATATTTTAATTTGTTTGACTTGAGAAACATCAAGAAGAGTCCTCAGGATTTGCTGGATTCCTGTCTGCTTACGCATTCACTTAACTTGAGCTGGTCTCTCTTCTGTCCTTTCCCTGCATTAATTGTGTTTATTAACATCACTGGTTTGGTTTCTCTTCTAGGTCATATGTGAAAATACTGTGTATTTATAACCCACACATATATAGCAAATCGGCTCCTTCTAATATTCATTCACATTTAACGATTGGGCACTGTTATTGTACATATTCATAATAG